AATTTTATCAACATTTTGCTTGTATTACCTTACTCATAGGATAATTATAAATATAATTTATATAAGTTAAAATTCACAAATATATTATCAGTGTATTAACTTATATCTTTTCTTTTGATAGATTAAGGTGACGATATGTATATACTAATTATGATTTAATGATAAAAATGAATATGTAAGCATATGTTATGTATTTAGTGAATTGACGGTAAATAAAAGTTCGGACAAATTTCACCTGACTATTAAGTATCGATTAAGCAACAATGTCTTTTAGCGATTCATTACGATCCCTTTTAGAAAAATCGAAAATAACTTCTCTACCTTACTTGTAAGGGTAAAATCTGCATCTTTATTAGATGTGTTGTAGTGAAGTATACGAACGAGAAGTATAGAAGAGAGTTTTTTTGATAGAGAAAAATTACTCAAGCTAGCTTTTACTTCAGTTTTAATTTATCCGGCTTACTTTCCTTTTTAATATGTTTCAGAAGAATTAGCAACTTTTTTATTCCAACTTTCCAAGATTAAAAGACATTCTAGTATATTCCACATATCATATCTTTACCACAAAATTTGAAAATCTTCTTTACATTTTTAGACTCCATGTCAAGTCAAATAAATTGAAAAACGAGAGAGCATATATAACAGACTAACAAATGCAAATAAAATTTGCTGTATAATATTCCATATTTATCAACATTCTTGAGTGAGAAAAATACAACCATGGTGCATTTGATAGCAAATGCTAACATTTTTAAGAATAAAGCATTATCTCAGAACTTCAGTAGCCAAGAACCAGAGAATTGCATCATTGAAGTCTCATGCAAAGTAGGCGGCAAGCTGTGGCAATGTAATACACGGGCGTTATGGCCCCTGACAATGCTTAGAGACAACTCGAGGGGTGGGTGGGATTGCCTCATTCTCTTCTGTCACCGAATACACTTCATCCTCAGGTTCAATATAAGCTGGTTTTTCCTTCTTGTATTTGGGGATGCATCCATTGGCAATTAAGAATAATGCACAAATTTACTTAGTAACATGCTTTGGGATAGCAGTTCAATTATAGAAGATGTAAATCAAGATTTAAGCGCAACATAGGCGTATTAGTTATAAAGTAGTACTGGGATATAATTCATGTCAAGTTTGATGATATTCCAAGATGTAGTTCAAAGTACTGGCCAAATTGACCTTAAATAAACACAAGCAAATTGAAGGTAAATCTATTACCTTCTCATGAGGGAAGATCCAATTTTCATTCAACCCCAATCAAGATGGAACCAGCAGTCTTTACCATCTGTGTCACCAACAATTGAAATGACACCGGTCCACCACCCAGCAAAGATGAAATGCAACATTGTTCACCTGAAAAGAATGCCGCTGATCCTGCAGCCGCGACATGAACTGTAGAATGAACTGTTAGCTGACATACTCATGTTTAGGTATGGATTCACCTTCATCAGATAACAAATGCATGAACTCAACTGAGAAAATAATTTTTTCTTTAGGGTTTTGGCGGTGGCAGCCAAAGCTGTTGATTCAGTGGTTCCATAATGATGGTAATCTAAATCTCTTTCCAGAAAGACTAGTTTAAAAAAGAAAATGAACTATGTTAAGAATGAGGCTCAGATTTTAGCTTATTTAATCCAAAATGGAGGAGGAAGAGCAGAGTTAGCACTGCTGCAGTTGCAAGCAACAATTGCCTTACAAGACCTTCCAATTGGGCTTAGCCAAGCCAGGCAATGAATCAACTCTCATCTTATTCACTTTTCATTTTCATTATAAATAATCTTCATTGCCTCGGAAACTTGGTGCATTCAGGATCTAAAAAGGCATGAAAGTTTGAGTAGTGTAGATAAATGCAGCAACAACCAGCTTCAATATCAACTTGGTTAAAGACAGTAAATGGATCCTAAATATCCACTTCCATTCCCTTTGAACTTGTTTCGTATCAGTACCTAACAATTTATGGAAATTGTGTAGATGGATACATAAGAAGTTTTTTTCTCAAAGGGGACTCTTCCTATATGTGCTGATCGTACGAAGGATGAAAAAAACAGACTACATATTGTAGAACCAAACTTTAAACAGAAAAGAGGCTCAGATTTTGAGTGAAAATCAATCAGAAAAAAGGGCTAATTCACCATGGCTGCAAAAAGCAGATACCTTTGTGACAGAGCAAGTAAGAACAAAACTCATGAATTCCCCTGCCTTTGCCTAGCCAAGTTATGAATCAGCTTAAAAATCTGATTTTCAAACTACCTGGAGAATATCATCACAGCCTCGTTCACAAAGTTTAGGGTTGAGGATTCGGGGTTTTCTACACAAGTTGAAGGGGGGAAAATGTATGTTCCCTTATTATTAATATTATTATTATCATAAACATGGCAATCATCACCATCATCAAGAACATTTTGCTGATGAAAGGGCTGTTAAACTATATCTGTCTAACAAAAGCATAAGAAAATTCATTGGCTAAATTGAACGTAAGAGAAAAGAGAATAACCACCCTCAGAAAATCACTACCTTTCTCGAGTTCAATAAAAAGCCTCATTTACTGAACACAGAGATACTTGGAGGCTCAGATTTGCCTTTTTCTCATTCAAAAAGCTAAACAATGGACGTGGGCGCATGGCTGCAAGCATCAATAGTCCAGTGAGACAACTAATACAGTTCCCATATCTCACAGAGCCTTAAAGCTGCCATGCCAATCCCCATCAGTTGAGTGACCATTTGAGATATTAACCACAGACTTTAGGACTCATATTTTGTTGTACATGAACATGCAAAGAGAAAGGGACAACGCCATGGCTGCTGACACCAGTTTGCAAATGATGCCATACCTGGTCGCCCTGCCAAGATACGGGTCAGGTTTTCTCAATGCAGTAAAGTAGGGTGTTTTACAAGAATGGCCCGTAGATGTGTGTGGTCTTTGACCCACTTACTCCATGGAAACTTTTGACTTCTGACTTCGACTTTGAAGGTTTGCCATGGGGGATGCGGGGTCAAGACCATCCATTATCAAGGTCATTGGGTGTACTTTCCTGTGTAACAAAGGAACAGGGAAATCACTTCGCTAAATTGAACTTTAGAAGGGAGCAAAAACCCTTGGAAAATCTCAACCTTCCTCGAGTTTCCATAAAAAGCCTCATTTTTCCAACACAAACAGAGATTTGGGAGGCTCAGATTCGCCTTTTCTCATACATAAGCTAAACCCCACTATGGCTGCAAGCTTAAGGATGCTTTGTGAGACACAGAAACAAAAATAGCTCCACTATCTCACAATACCCCCAACAAAACTGCCACGCCAAGATATAGCAAGGCTCAACCATCTGATGAGTAAAGACAAAAAATCATCACAGCCTCATTATGGTCCTCATGTCAAAGGTCTTCGTTGTAGAAATGACACCATTTAGCCACTTTAGGGCGGCTTTACTAAAATATTTTCCTCCATACTAAAACATCCAGAGTAAGATGAATGTGACAATTGAGGCTCAGTTCTTCTATTCATGATCAGGTAAAGAAAGTCCTGCCATGTCATGGCTGCAAATATCCCCAAGTTGCATGCAACAAAATCACAGGCATCCGGGTAATTGCCACGCCAGGTTGCCATCGGGTACCCTCAATGCTCAATTACTAGCTCAAGAGGATAGACTGAAAGATCATCACTGCCTCAATAAGGGACTATTTTGGACATTTTCTCATGATGTGTGTGCGTGCATGCAGAGATTTTTTCATCATTTAGGTTCCGAACTCTTCGAGTCCTGGGACGTCCAGTTGGACTAGTTGGAAATTGAGGCTCAGACTAGCAAAAAATGGGGCAAAGAGAAGGCGACAACGCCATGGCTGCAAAAGAACCAGTTGCATGTGAAAGAGAAGACTCGATCACAAGCCATCCAGGTTTGCCATGCCAAGATACGGGTCACATAGTCTCCATGCCCCAAACAGCAGCCCAGATAAGCAATATCATCACTGCCTCTTTCAGAAAATATGGAAACTTTTCCATAAGAGCCCGTTTGAATAACTTTAACAAGAAATATTAATGAAACAAATGAGACCTTCAGATCTCTGAGTATTTCATACCAAAAGCATTTGGTCTAAGCTATCTCGGAATGATCAGAAAATTGAATAGTATTACTTACATCAGCATCATATTACCACCATTGAAGGCAATGACAACAAATATTGTTGGTTGTTTCTACTTTTCCAGAGGGTTGTTTGTTTGGTTAAAGGAGAAATCATAGACCAATCAGAGGGGGCAACCACCCTCCAAAGAAATTCCCTTTTTCTCACTGTTGGTCTCATTCTTCACACTGGGCTGAGCTTCCATTACAGTGTAAATCCAGGAAATTACACCCAATGAACTTGGAACTGGTCTAAAACAGCAATTTCTGCACTTCGTCCACAAACAAAGCTAAAAGGGTTGTTTATTAGAGCAAAGAAAAAAACATTGACGTACCAGAGATGGTCTAACACCCTGAAAAAATCCACATTTTTCTCTGACTGCCTCATGTTTTCGAGCTAAAATGAACAGGGACCAGGGTTTCCATCAAATGAGATTCTGGGTTTCGATCCCGGCGTACTCGAAGTGACTCATTGGAAGTTGAGGTTCAGATTTGTGCAAAAAAGGGGTAAAGAGAAGACGACAACGCCATGGATGCAAAATGAACGGGTTACGTGATTCGGGTTTGCCCTGCCAAGATACGAGTCGGGTTTTCTCCATGCCCCGATTTTCAGCGCGGAATTAGCAATATCATCACTGCCTCTTTGAGAAAGATGGAACCTTTTCTATACCAATTTGTGGACAGTTTTCCAGACTAGTAGATTGAAATGGAGAGAGTATGACATTACTACTACTGCTAGCAACATTACATCAATGGCAACAGATTTATTTATTTATTTTTGGGAAGTTTCACAAATATACCAATGGAGGGTTGTTGATTTGGTTGAACAAGAAATCATAGGTCAACCAGAGAGGACAACCACCCTCCAAAAAAAGTTCCCTTTCCCTGTTGGCCTCATTCTTCATACTGGGCTAAGCTTCCATTACTCTGTAAACTGTAAGTCCCTGCAACTTTGTAAACTTCAGCTATTCTCTAAACAGGGTCCTAAAATACAGGAAATTACAACACCCAATGACGTTGGAAATGGTCTAAAAGCAGCTATTTGTGCACTTCACCCACATACAAAAGCTAAAAGAATTGTTGATTAGAGCAAAGAAATCATTGACATACCAGAGATGGTCGACCACCCTGTAAAAATGCCCATTTTCCTCCGATTGGCTTGTCCTTTAGAGCTAAAATGAACAAGGTTTCCATCAAATGAATTTCGGGGTTTGGATCCTGGAACTCATTGGATGTTGAGGCTCAGATCTGTGTAAAATGGGGCAAAGAGAAGATGACAACACCGTGGCTGCAAAATCAACCAGTTACATAATCTGGGTTTGCCCCACCAAGATACGAGTCGGATTTTCTCCTTGCCCAGAATTGGCAATATTATCACTGCCTCCTTCGAAAGATGGATTCTTTTCCATATCAATAGTGAACAGGTTCAAGACAAGTGAATTAGAAGAGAGGGAGTATTACTACCGCTGCTATCAACTAATCATCAATAGAAACATATACCAACGGAGGATTGTTCGTTTGGTTGGTCAGAGAAATCATAGGTCAATTAGAGAGGGCAACTACCCTCAAAGAATTTAGAGAAAACAATAAACAGTACTAGTACTTCTAAAGAGGGTTGTTAATTTTGTTTATGGGGAAATCATAGGCCAAGCAGAGGCACCCTCAAAGAATTCCCTTTTTCTCTGTTGGCCTCATTCTTCATATTGGGCTGAACCTCCATTTTTCTATGCTTTTGCAGCTGCTTTTCCTGTAAAAGCAGTAACAGACTGAGAGACAGAAAGAGACATCCAATTATTATTATTTATATATATAATATAAAAGCTGTTGATTAGAGCTAAGATAAAATCACTGGTATACCGGAGATGGTCAACCACCCTGAAAAATCCCTTTTTACTCCGATAACCTCATTTTTGAGATAAAATTTTGATGGAGAACTGCATCTGAAAAATGGGGTTCAACAAAAGCTGAAAAATCCAACTGCGTATCTCAGTTCCTGAAACGACCATCCATTTAAGATAATCACACGCTTGCCATAGACTAAAGGGCTCAGATTTTGCTGTATAAGAACATGCAAAGAGAAAGCGACATTGCCATGGCTGCAGATACACCGATTTGCAAATGGATGCCTTACCGGGTCGCCCTGCCAAGATACGAGTCGGATTTTCTCAACGCAGTGAAGCAGATTATAGTCCAGAAAGAAGCAAATCATCATCACAGCCCATTTTATCAGATCAATCAACATCAATAAAACACCTCATTTACGTTCCGAACTCTTAAAAAAAGCAGCTACCTTGTTGTGTCATTTCTACCTTGCAGAAGCACAAGCAGAAAAAGCATATATATATTTGGAATCTATGGCCAAACGCCTGCATGGTCTCGTTTTCAGTTTCTTGATCTTTTCTTTTTCTCAAAGGACTGTTGTTTTTTTCTGAATGGAGAAAGAAATCATGGACATAAATAGTAGAGAGGGGGCAATCACCCTTTACAGAAAATCCCAGCTCTCTCTGATGTCTCATTCTTCATTCCTGGGCTAAACTATGATGAGGGTACTGCAAAAACACACTATGTTATACATATATATATAGAGCACAATACCCAATTCACAAGTTCTTTTGCTCGTGCCATGGCTGACCAAGAGAACATCAGTGAAGGAAAAAGTAGTTCTTTTTTTTTCTTCTGTTTTCTGAAAATCTAATTAGATGTTTGCTACCATAGCCATGGTTAATCATCATCAACAGCAAGATCATTATTGGCATTAGATGATAAAAGGGTTGTTAATCTCTCTCTTTGTAACGGAAGTACTGGAAAATTCATCGGCTAAATTGAACTTCAGAGAAAGGGACTAACCACCCTTAGAAAATCTCAACCTTTCTCGAGTTCCATAGAAAAGCCTCATTCCTTGAACACAAACACATATTTGGTTGATTTGAAGTCCTAAATATATTAAGAAGGATATTACATAAATTTTAGTTGATTTAAAGTCCTAAGTATTAGGAATATAGTAAAAATGACAACTTTATCTAGTGTGAAATCTAGTTTTAACGGGTAAAAAAAGCAAACAACATTTCGCTAATGACCTCCATGGTTTTAATATAATATAGATATGATAAAAGGGCTGTTGATTAGAGCTAAGATAAAATCATTGGCATACCGGAGATGGTCAACCACCCAGAAAATCACCTTTTCACTCCGATTACCTCATTTTTAAGATAAAATTTGATGGAGAACTGCATCTGAAAATGGGGTTCAACAAAAACTGAAAAACCGAAGTGGGTATCTCAGTTCCCAAGAACGACCATACATTTAAGACCATCACATGCTTGCCATACACTTTAGGGCTCAGAGTTTGCTGTCTATGAACATGCAAAGAGAAACCAACACACGCCATGGCTCCAAGACACCGATTTGCAGATGATGTCGCACAAAGATACGGGTCAGACCTTCTCAATGCAGTAGATTATTAGCCCAGAAAGAAGAAACTCATCATCACAGCCCATTTTTAGATCAATCAACATCAATTAAACACCTCATTTAGGTTCTGAACTCCTAATAAAACAACTATCTTGTTGTATCAATTCTACCTTGCAGAAGCACAAGCAGAAAAAGGAAAAAAACATAAACAAATATATTATACACACACACACACACATACACACACATATATATGGAATCTATGGCCAAATGCCTACACAATTGTTGATCTTTTCTTTTTCTCAAAGGGTTGTTGGTGTTTTATGAACGGAGGAAAAATCATGGACATAACAGAGAGAGGGCAACCACCCTTTACAGAAAATCCTATCTCTCTGATGTCTCATTCTTCCTTTCTGGGTTAAACTATGGTTAGGATTCTGCCATAAGCATTATCATCACAACCTCATTTGAAGGACGGAAACTTCCTTACAAGTACGTGTTTGGACAATTTCGAGTAACTTTTGACAAACAACAACCTACCCAATGAAATCCCACAAACATAAGCTAAAATTAGAGGGATGTTTGGTCCAAGTTTTAGAGAAAACAAGAAACAGTACTAGTACTTATGAAAAGGGTTGTTGATTTTGTTTACAGGGAAATCATAGGCCAAACAGAGGGGCAACCACCCTCTAAGAGTTTCCTTTTCTCTGTTGGCCTCATTCTAAACAGTGGGCTGAACCTCCATTTTTCTGTAGAACACTCGGATTTTTTTTAAAAAAACTGGGGGTAGGAGAAGTGGAAAGGGGGAGGGGATTACAAGGTGGAGAATCGAACCCTCACCAACAAGGTGAAAGTTCAGGTAGCCATTAGCCAACCTACCTACTGAGCTACTAAGATTCCCCTAGAACACTCTGATTTATAAGAGACAATTTAACCAGAGACCCTGTAAGTCCACTTATCTGTCCCTTTTCAATGCTTTTGCTGCTGCTTTATCTGAAAACACAGACACTCTCTCTCACACACACATAAATGTTTTTGCCGTACACTTTAGGGCTCAGATTTTGCTGTTTTACAAACATGCAAAGAGAAAGCGACATCGCCATGGCTGCAGATACCGGTTTGCAGATGATGCCATACCGGGTCGCCCTGCCAAGATACGGATCGGATCTTCTCAATGCAGTGAAGTAGATATAGCCCAGAAAGAATCAAATCATCATCACAGCCCATTTTTTCAGATCAATCAACATTCTTGTAAATCACCCATTAAAAGCAGCTACCTTGTTTTGTCATTGCATGCATATATATATATATATAAATTAAAAAAAATCAACATTTTTGTTCTTTTTTTCTTCTGAAAGGGCTGTTGGTTTTTTATGAATGGAGAAGAAATCATGGACATGGCAGCGAGGGGGCAACCACCCTTTACAAAAAATACCATCACTCTGATGTCTCATTCTTCCTTTCTGGGCTAAACTGTGAGAATTTTTTTTTTTGAAAATGGTAGTGTTTAAACTGTGAGAATTCTGCCATAAGCATTATCATCACAGCCACTTCTGAAAGAGGAACTTCCCCACAAGTAGGCGTTTGGACAATTCCAAGTAGTTTTTAACAAACACAAGATAAGATTAGAGTATGTTTGCTAACCTCGGAGAAACAAGAAAACAGTACTGGTACAATTAAAGAGGGTTGTTGATTTGGTTGAAGGAGAAATCATAGGCCAATCAGAGGGGGCAACCACCCTCCAGGAATTCCCTTCTCTTTCTGTCGGCCTCATTCTTCATAGTAGAGGGGTGTATTTGGCCCTTTTCCGTTCTTCATACTGGCTTACCTCCATTTTTCTATGCTTTTGCTGCTGCTTTGCCTCAAAAAGAAGGCATGCAAGAGCAAAGTAGTCACAGATACAGATACAAAAGGGTTGTTGATTGGAGCTAAGAAAAAAATCATTGGCATACTGGAGATGGTCAACCACCCTGAAAAATCTCATTTTTTTCTTGGGTTGCCTCATTTTTTGCCAAAACACTTAGGGCTCAGATTTTGCTGTATATGAATATGCAAAGAGAAAGCAACACATGCCATGGCAGCAAGACACAGCTTTGCATATGGATGCCATACCAAGTCGCCCCGCCAAAGATACGGGTTGGATTTTCTCAACGCAATAAAGTAGATTATAGTTCAGAAAGAAGCTACCCATCATCACAGCCCATTTTTTTTCAAGTTTTTGCACGGATTGCTCCTATTTCAGATTAACCAACATCAATAGAACACCTCATTAAGGTTTAGTACTCTTACAAATAACAGCTAGCTTTGTATTTACAGGGACATAAAAGTGGATATTTGCAAAAATCAGATATAGTATATACAGAAGCAGAAAAAGGAAGAGCATATATAGTCCACAAACATAAGCTAAAATTAGAGGGATGTTTGGTCTGAACTTAGAGAAAACAAGAAACCAGTACTAGTACTTCCGAAAGAGGGTTGTTGATTTTGTTTATGGGGAAATCATAGGCCAAACAGAGGGGGCAACCACCCTTCAAGAATTCCCTTTTCTCTCTGTCGGCCTCATTCTTAATATTGAGGTTGAGCCTCCACTTTTCTATAGAACACTCTTATTTATAAGATATAATTTAACCAGAAACCCTGCAAGTCTGCTTAACTGTCCCTTTTCTATGCTTTTGCTGCTGCTTTAACTGAAAATGCAGCCACACAGGAGCAAAGTAGTCACAGATAGACAGAAACAGACAGACATACAATACACACATACATGGCATAATACATAAACACACCCAAACTTGGTCTCGGCTGACAAGTAAGAACTCCAACTTTGAGAGTGCACATCTAGACACCTCAACTTGATCTCAAATGGCAACTAAACACTCCAACTCATCTCCATTGTGTCTCGTGCACACACGTAACACATAAATTCTAGAAGTGTCTAGATGATCATTTTGTAAGTTGGAGCGTTCAACTAACACAGCAAAGGTGTCTAGACCTCATACATATGCTAAAAAGGCTGTTGATTAGAGCTAAGTAAAATCACTGGCATACCGGAGATGGCCAACCACCCTGAAAAATCCTTTTTTTTACTCCGATTACCTCATTTTTGAGCTAAAAAATTGATAGAGCACTGCATCTGAAATGGGGTGTTCAAGAAAAACTGAAAAAAGCAATTGGGTATCTCAATTCCCAAGAACAACTATCAAATGGTTGCCGTACACTTTAGGGCTCAGATTTTGCTGTTCTACAAACATGCAAAGAGAAATCGACATGGCCATGGCTGCAGATACACTGGTTAGCGTATTGATGCCTTACCAGGTCGCCCCGCCAAGATACCGGTCGCATCTTCTCAACATGATAAAGTAGAATGTTAGCCAGAAAGAAGCAAATCCTCATCACAGCCCCCATTTTTAGGTTCCGAAGTCCCGAAAAAGCAGCTATCTTTGTTGGGTCATATGTATAAAAATATTTGGAATTCTATGGCAAAATGTGTAGATAATTCTTGATTTTTTTTAATCAAAGGGCTGTTGGTTTCTTTAATGAATGGAGAAGAAAGAAATCATTGACATAGCAGAGAGAGAGAGGAAGCAACTACCCTTTACAGAAAATCCCATTTTTTTCCTTCTGATGTCTCATTCTTCCTTTCTTGGCTAAACAATGCTTGAAGATTTCAGCTAAACACTAGAATACATAGCCAAATCCCCAAGTTCGTTATGGTCGACCAAGGTCATACTGGGGAATGAAAAAGTAGTTCTTTCTTTATCTTTTATGAAAATCTCAAGAAATATACTATACCACGGAAGGTTATTGTAGATTTGACTTATCAAGCGAACATATTAGGACATTATTGTTTTAGTACGCAAAGATGGTCACGAAGTTCTCATATATTGCAAACTTTTTTTTTTATCATAACAGCTTGTTTGTATGGTTGTTATTTATTGTATTGTGTTGTTAGTTTAAATGCAATGTTTGTTTTGATTGTTATTTAAATTTCATTGTATCATATTGCTTCATCGTTAGGTAACGATGAAAAGTCTCATTTTGTGTGGTCGCGTCGAACAAGCACATTCGACCTTTCGTCTTGATTCACAATCGATAAATCAGGATCTTAAGGCACACAATTCTTGATCTTTTAAGAGTTCTAAAGAACATCCATCCTATGCTCATACTGTATCACAAACTATTCCAAGAATCTTAGAGATAACCAGAGAATTGACATCCTTGGAGGTACAAGATATTCAAGGAACTCAAGGTGCCAATTGAATGAGGAAGCTCACCGGAGATGCCTGTGTGTGCAATACTCAACTCCAACAGAGTGCTGCTTGGGTGGATCTTTGGTAAAACTCCTTTGAGAAGATCATTGTAACCCAATTTGAGCGTTTCCAAGTTTGGCAGAAGGAAAAAGCTCTCTAGAGAACACCTTGCAAATTGGTTGATTGAAGATTCACATGCCTTAAGGAGGAAGACATATTCACAGGTATCGGAGATGAGATGTTGACATAAGAGAGAGAAAGTACCTCCAGATTTGTCTAGTTCTGAAGCATTGCTTCAAATGTTCTCTCATCAAGTTGTAAATCATAACCAGAAAGATCAAGTGAAACCAAATTGGAAAGGTATGAGATTTCTGTTGGGATTTTTCCATCAAAGGAAGACCATGAAAGGTTGAGATGCCTCAAAATCCTCAATCGGCCAATGTTATGTGGGATCGAAGAAGAATGATTGAAGTTATTGTAAGCAAGATTAAGTGTGTGGAGATGATGGAGTTGGAAGAGGCTGCTATTGGGATGAATACTTCCACCAAGCAGACTACAACTAGGGTCTAACCCGATAACATGACCGTTTAATAAGTCACGAGTGACTCCATCCCAACTGCAGCAATCCCTACTCTCATTCCAAAACTTTGTTCTTGGGCAATCATAATACCAGGATTCATAATCCCAACAACTAAAGTAGTCGGAAATTTGAAAGGATTGTCTGAACTGAAGCAAAGCGTAAGCTTCCGTGGAAGAGCAAAGATGATGAACAGAGGATGAAGAAAAGCTTCGACCTAGAAAGACAAAACAGACAAGTGAATAAAAGATATAAATGTGTGAGGTGCTCAACTCTATGCTGACTTTAAATCTCAGTTTCAACTAACATGAGAGATAACCAACAAAATCTTAGTTTTTAAACATCATACAACTGCTTGAAATTTCTCTCTGTGATGCCAAAATTCAAATTTGAACAGGTCAATCAGCTGCTGGATATGTCTAGTTCTTATACTGACCAGATTTAATCATTTACCTGCAGGTGTTGGAGCAAACAGGCCTCTCTTGAACTGCTGCATGTACTCATCGAAGAGTGTAAGAGAATGAAAGAGCACCAGCATCAAACTTGTATCAACGCAATCTGAAGTTCCACGAGTTGAACATACTTGAAAGTCAAAGCAAGGATCCAAGTACTGCTTTAACTGGTATAAAAATTACCAAAAGAAAATGAAATTAGATAAAATAACACAGAAAAAAATTAGAATTTGGCTCTGAACAACGACAGATGATCCTGGGTAATTGGAGACGCCATAATTCTCTCCAATCCTTAACAAACTAGTGGCTACTCAAAATAAAGGAGAACCTGAAATTAAAAATAATAGACCAAAGAACCACACATTATATCTAGTTTAAAGTTATTTACAGAAAAACTTGTCAAAAAAAAATGCAAATAAACCAAGTTGGGGATGAGGCCCAGATTTTCGACTATTTAATCAAAGGAAATAGTAGAGTTAACATGCTGTGGTTGCAATCATCGGTTGCCTTACAACGAAGACCTTCCAATTAGACTCATCAACCCAGGCCATGAATCAACTCTAATAATTTTCACTTTTCATTATGCTTATACTTCACTGCCTCTGAAACTTGGGATTTCAAGATTTAAATAAGGCAAGAAAGCTTGGACTTGTGTAGATAATTTCACCAACTAGCTTCAGTATCAACATTCACCTCCATATCCTTCGAACTTGTTTCATATCAATACCTAATAGTTTCACTCCTGGAAAATGTGTAGTTACACAACAGTTTTGTTTTGAAACTGGGATTCGTCTAGATATTACGCAAAAGTAGAAAAAAGAACATGAATATAAGAAGGAACACAAAGTTTTGAACCCAAACAAGCTGGGATCAAATTCTGTTTAAAATCATCCCAAACCAATATCATACAACATGATGATAAAAAGAAGTAAAGAACGAAAGAAACAGACCAAACATTGTAGAACTAAACTTAAACACAGAAAAGAGGCTCACATCTGATCTATCAGAAAGAGTCTAATCCACCATGGCTGCAAAAAGCAGAGGCCTTTTTGTGAGAGCACATAAAACCCACCTCACAAATTCCTTGCCTTTGCCTAGCCAAGATATGAATCAGCTCAAACATCTGAGTAGCAAGCTTCCTTCCCGGAGAATATCATCATAGCCTCATTCACAAAGTTTAGAGTTTAGGATTCGGGTTTACCCGTACAAGTTTTTTTTTTTTTTTTTTGGGGGGGGGGGGGGGGGATTCCTTGGCTAAAGCTAAATTGAACACAGAGAGAGAGTAACACCCTTCTCAACTTTTCTCGAATTCCATAAAAACCCACATCTTTTGTACACAAAACGGAAATTTGGGAGGCTCAAATTCACTTTTCCTCAGAAATAAGCTATTCATTGAACTTATTTTGCTAGAGTGGTTTGAAATTGGGAAACTAACTTTGAGTGATCATTGGCTGCTGAGAATGAAAGGGGCAGCTACTCAAACAACTCCCCCAACTCTCTAAATTCAGCAGCCTCAGACTTAAACTAATGAAATGTTTGCCATTTTTCTTTTTACCTTGCTGCTTCATCTATTCACTGAAATAGTTTCCTCCATATCAATACACCCAAAAGAAAATATTAGGGACAATTGAGGCTCAGATCTGTATTTATGCTGACAAAGAAAGTCCAGACACGCCATGGCTGCAAATACCTCTAGTTACATGCAACAATATCACACGCAACCTGATCATTGCCCCGCCAAAATAGTCATGTATTGAAAAATCATTCCTGCATACATAAGAGACTGTTTTGGACATTTTCTCATGATATATATGTATGTTTGTGTGTGTGTGTGTAAGATACAGACAATATACATGTGCATCATGTACATAACGAGGCTCAGATGTCAATTAAATAATCAAGCATTGAGTCCACCAGAAACCGACATGGCTGCTACCACTCCTGGTAACCCCGCCAAGATACGGCTCTTATGATCTCAATGCCCAATTCATATTGCTCAAAAATTGCATTATCATCACAGCCATAAATCCTTCCTGTTCTTACATTGATTTCTTGCTGTTTGATTGATAATACAACAAATAACCATCCTGAATAAAGCAAAGGAAGAAGATGCAGCAACATGCAATTTTCAAAAAAATGATGAGGGTTTCCACACAACAAGGACTTGAGTTTTCAGAAAGCTTCACAAAGACTAGCTGGAGACTGAGGCTCAGACCTGCAAGAAAATGAGGCAAAGAGAAGGCGACAACGTAATAGCTGCAAAGAACCGGTTGTATGTGATAGAGAAGGCCTTAATCACAAACCATCCAGGTTTGCCCTGCCAAGATATGGGTTGGATTGTGTCCATGCCCCGTATATCAGCCCAGTATTAGCAATATCATCACAGCCTATTTTGAAACATGGAAACTTTTCCTCAAGTAGACTCTGGACTATTTCAAGAAATTTTTGATAAACAAACGCTAAGATCAGGAGGATGTTTGGTTTTACCTCTGAGAAATTAGAAACCTAAAGTAGTAGTAGTAGTAAGTACTTTTGAAGAGGGTTGTTGGTTTGGTTGATGGAAAAATCATAGTCCAAGCAGAGAGGGAATCTACCCTCACAAGAAATCCCCTTTCTCACTGTTGGCCTCATTCTTCATGCTGTGCTGAACCTCCATTTTTGTGAAGTAAAACACACGCTGATTTGTTTTTATTTTGATAAAGTCTGATTTATAAGAGAAAATTTAACTGAAGAGATCCCATAAGTCTGCATTTAAGAAACTAATCCTCCCCTTTCATGCTTTTGCTGCTGCTTTGCCTGAAAATGCAGGAGCAGAGTTGTGATAGATAGATAGACAGAAACAGCCATACAATGCATATATATACCAACATATATATGTAAAAGGGGCTGTTGATTAGAGCAAAAAAGAAATCATTGGCATTCCGGAGATGGTCAACCACCCTGAAAAATCCCCATTTTTCTCTAATTGCCTCATTTTGAGCTAAAAAGTTGATGGAGAACAGCATCTATAATGGGGTTCAGAGGAAAACAGTGAAGAACCTAATTGAGGTGCCATCAATGTATTCAGCCATTTCAAAAGACTTGAGGCTCAGATAAGTAATTATCTCAGGCAATGAGTTCTCTGACATTGCCATGGCTGCAACCCCTATAATACGGTGTTACCCCGCCATGATACAGGCCTAAACTACAGTGCCAGGTTCCATATGCTCAATAACAAGCAATCATCACAGCCCCATCATTAAATTTTCCTTTAATTTGTTATATGGTTCTGCTGTTGCCTTGCCAACATAAAACAGCGGAAAAATGATCAATTCTCGGTCCTAGTGGTGTAGTGGTAGAATAGTACCCTGCTGAAGTACAGACCCGGGTTCAATTCCAGCTGGTGTATTCTGTTTGGGTTTGCAGATGGTTGTCGTTAAACTGTTAGGGCTCAGACTTTGCTTTTCTATGAACATGAAAGAGAAAGCGACCACGCCATGGCTGCAGACACAGTTAGCAGACGATGCTATACCAGGTCTCCCTGCCAAGATACGGGTAAGATTTTCTCCACACAGTAAAGTAGCTATCCCAGAAAGAAGCAATCATCATCACAGCCTATATTCAGATTTCAGGTGATCTGTGAAGATCCCTTCACTCGTTATCCTCATAGCTAACTAAATACTGATTTCATCCAGAAAAAAAGTGTTTTCAATCATACAAAGACACCGTAAGGATCCATGGCATAATGGTAGCGCGTCCGACTCCAGACCAGAAGGTTGTGTTGTGTGTTCAGTGGACATTCAGTTCGAATTCCCGATCCATTAGAGTCCCAAATATGTTATATTACATGGATAGTGAGTATTAATATGGCTGACCCCTACTTACTCGGGATTAAGGCTCACTTGTTGTGTACCATAGACAACCTAAGAGAGAATTTGAGGCTCAGATCTGTTGAGGAAAATAAAACAAGAAAAATGAAGACATTGCCATGGCTGCAAACACCGGTTGCATGACACAAAATTCACTTGCCACAGGGTTGCCCAGCCAAGATACACGTGTATCTGTTTTCTTTTTCAATCCATATGCTCAGAGAAATAAGGAAGTCACTGCCATGGCTGTAATTTCAGTAACATTTGGATTGCCAAGCCAAGATACAGTTTTATCAGATCCATAGCGTAACTTAAATATTTCTCATCAGAGCCTCTATGCTGACAGGTGGAAGTGGGGTTAGCAACTAAGAAGCAGCCGAAGACGGCAACAATGACATACACATGAACATGCATATTACTTTGGTCTCAATTTCACCTCCATTTTACATCTCACAATTGGGACCTCCATTTCACAAGCATACCTTTCTCTGCCTTTTATGCTAATGCCAATGTAAAGAAACAAATTTCTATTGAAAAACCAGTTAAAGCAATCTTTATTTTTCTTATAGCAATGGAGATCAGGTTAAACAAGAAGCCAATGTGAACTTAAAGCAGCTCAGGCACTGAATTCTAGTCTAACATCTAGTTCATCATGTCTTTCACTTTCCTATAGACAAAATGAACAGGAATAAAAAATGAAACTACAACAACCAAACAACAACATACCCATAGTGTAATCCGACAAGTGTGGTTTGGGACTGGGAGGGTGGAGTGTACGCAGAACTTACCCCTACCTTGTGTAGGTAGACAAGTTGTTTCTAATAGACCCTCGACATTATAGAAGCATATAATATGCAATAATTTGAAAATCAGTTCCAGAGAAAATATGGCTCTTATAGTGAAAACTGAAATGTTATCACATAGGACAGATGTTATAAAGAGGTCTGAGCAAAACCTTATTGTATTTCAAACTCAAAGCACAACAGGTCCCCAATTCAGAAATTTGAGGCTTCGATACTGCATTTTTGGTCGAACAAAGAGAAGGCAACATCGCCATGGCTGCTAAAACACCAGTTGCATGCAAAAGAGAGAGCCTCAGTTGCAGGCCATCCTGGAATTCGCCAAGGTACGGGTCACACTGTCCTCAATGCCCAATTTTGGTAGCCCAGAGGAAAAAACATTGTCATCATCACAGCCTCTATTGCAAAATTACTCAAAAAGGAGGATAAAACACACACACACACACTGAGATCTACAGCTTAAGTTGTAGATTCAAGAAACTGCATGGCCCATGCATATGTTTCAATAATCATAGTTGTTGATTAATGTTTGTCTGAGGAACAAGGGCTGTTGGTTTAGTTGCTAAACATAAAATCATTGGTAGAACAGAGTGGGGGCAACCACCCTTAACGAAAAAATCCCATCTCTCTATAACCTTATTTTTTCTTTCTGGGCCAACACTTCTTTAGGAAAAATCATAGTTTTCACCAGAAAATTTCCCAACTTTCTTCTTCTCCGAGGGATACATTAGTAACCAAACACTGATGAAATTCTTCATGAAACAAACATTTTCCTTCATACCAAAGATACCCTTAAGAACAATACAATACTTTAGTAACAACCATCCAAACAAGAGCACTGAAGCTGACATCAGTTGATAAAACAAGAGAATGAAGACATCGCCATGGCTGCAGACCTCAGGTTGCGCTCCGGGTCGCCCCGCCAAGATACGGGTCTCTTAGTTTCTCTTGTCAAGTATCATTGAAGCCTCATAATTCTCTCTCTTCTTTGAGAGAAAAATTTAGTTCAACACCATAACATATTAGACTATTTGATTCAAAAATCTCAACAGGGTGTGAATAATTTTTCCCTGGGAATTAAGGGGTTTGATATTTATTTCATTTTCTTTTCATATGCGAAATCACTAGAGTTGCAGAGAGGGGCAACCACCTTCAAAAAAAACCTCCTAACATGAACAACTCATTTCCTAACCAACGACCATACAACCCCTTAAAGAGAATGCAACACACCATGGCTGCAAAATCACCGGCGGCGCAAAAGAGAGAACCTCAGTTGCAGGCCATCCTTGGGATTTTCCAGGCCAAGATACGGCTCCGATTGTACTCAATGGCCCATTTTGTTAACCCAGAAAGTGCTATTATTATCATCACTACCTCAACCAAGGTCATCAGTGCAAATTCCTTAGAATACACATTCACTG